CTCATTGTATTCCTGTGAAGTGGCTGCTGGATCTGAACCACTGACCTTGTAGTTCGTAACTGAACACTTATTCCACAGTGCTATCAGAACTCCTTAGAAAACCTTAAGAATCCACATACCCCCCCATACACATAAAAGAACCCTCTTATGCTAGAACTTTCTCATGACCTTTTCGGTGGCAAAACACTTACAAGTAGGCCACACCTCTCCTTCTTCCTTCCTAGTCTGTCTTAGTCTGGAAGCTCAGGTGAAATATATCCACCATTGGTAACCCTGCTGGTATTTAAAATGCCAGTGGTTATGTTGTTGCTGTTGATAGGTACTGTTGAGTCAGTTCTGACTCACAGCAGCCTTACGTACAACAGAATGAAACACTGTCCAGTCCTGCGCCAACCTCACACTTGTTATGCTTCAGCCCACTGCTACTGCTATAGTGCCAATCCATCTCATTGTGGGTCTCCATCTTCTTCACTGATCCTCCACTTTACCAAGCATGATGTCCTTCTCCAGAGACTAGTCTCTCCTGATAATATGTCCAAAGTATGAGAGATGCAGTCTGTTCATCTTGACTGTATTTCCTCTTACACAGATATGTTTGTTCTTCTGGCAATCCACAGTACTTTCAATGTTCTTCTCTTACACCACAACTCATAACTGATACTGCTTCCAGCATCACAGTAACATGCCAGTCACCACAGTATGACAAACTGACAGATGAGTGCTGATCTCTTTGAATGATGCTGTTAGAGAAAAATATTAAAAGTACCATGGGCTTAATGGCGGATAAGGTAGAGGTGCAGTGAAGATCTCCGTCAGCGATATCACAGACTACCAGACAAAGCAGGTTCAGGACAGAGCTCCAAAACTCAGCACCACATATCTAGGAATATTTAAAAAGTTTGAAGGCTTATAGCTAGTGGAGCGTGTACCAGAATGAAGAAATCTCATACTTTAGAATTTGCCAGGCTAAGCGGTCCAGAGCCCATAACTTGGAAGAGACTAAATGGCAAGAGAAAGAGCAGAAGCAAGCACACAGGCCCCAGAATAAGGCCACAGGAGATTTGGAGCAAAGGTGGACTTTTTTGATTTTGCTTTGTTACAATTTTTTGTGTGTGGGAGTATCTGTTCATTGGCTCTTCACTGTCTGTGTACCACCATTCTGGTGACTAGAGGGGATGTCTGAGCAAGTGGACACCCCCCACTGGTGGGTTATTCTGCCACAGATACCTTCAGCATTTAAAGAGGCAGGCAGCTCAAAATGGCCACAGCCAGCTCTGAATAGTTTATTAATAGAGAAAAGGCCAGAACAGGGGGTGTGAAGAGGGAGAGAGTTTACAAACAAAACAGGCCAAAAATTAAATCCTGAAGTACAGCTTAAAAACAAACAGTGGCATCTTGAAATTTACCGGCCGGCCTTGAAGGCAAGAACCTGAAACAGGACATTAAAGTCATAGTCATAATAGGCTACAGGTTTTTATTTTCTTCTCTCCCTCCTCTCCCTTTTCTGCAATTATAGACTACAGTATCCAATCTACGATTTGTTTTTTTTGTTTTGTTTTTTTTTGCTGTTGCTGTTTTGTTGTTTTTTGTTCCCCATTTTACCTTTAGGGGGCTCTTTCTCTATATATATTACCCAAGAAGAAACTGCAATTGTTGCCATATAGTCAAGCTAACATCATACCCCATAAAATATCACAATCCAGACAAGAACCAACACCAGCTGCCAAACACCAGGGAGGCAGACAACACCTGTGGACGTTACTTTGAGTTAAACAATAAGAAGAGTGAAAAGGGAAGACCACCTCCATATCACAGGTACTGGGAAGCAATCAGAAAGCATTAAAAAAAATGCCAAAACACATATTCATTTAAATACTAAGACCAAAGTTAAGTACTGAATATGTACAAAAAAACAGAAACAGAAGACCATATCAACACATATCCAGAAATAAGACAAATGGAATAAGACAAATGAACTGGAGGTAGATCTGGACTACATTCTGGAAGGAGAGCAGGCCTTGAAAGTGCCTGAGAAGGAATTCAGAAAAATGATTATAAAGTTGTTTCAAAACATTTTACGATGGAGTTGAGGAAAATATGGAAGAAGTCAGGAAAGTGCTACAGGAACAATCAAATAAGATACATACAGCATTGGAAACAATTCAAAACTTACAGAAAGAGGTCGAAATGATCAATAATACAATATCAGAACTAGACAATAAATTGTGTGAGCTGGTAGACAAATCTCTCAATACCACTAAGATAGATACGCAAGCAGAAAAAAAGATTAAAAATTCTGAAGAACGTCAAAGATTCATATTGGACAACATGAAGAGGAACAACTTAAGAATTACTGGCATTCCGTAACAGAAGAATCACATAAGCCCACAGAGGAGATAATTGAAGAGCTGCTGGAAGAAATTTCTCTAACATACTGAAAAGTGAAAAGATAAACATTCAAGAAGCTCAACAAACCCCAGGAAGGATACACCCCAAAATAAAATCACCAAGTCATATCATAATAAAGCTCTCCAAAATCAAAAATAAGGAGACACTCCTGAAAGCAGCCAGGGAAAAGAGAAGCATTACAAAGGCAAGCAAGTTAGATTAAGCTCGGATGTCTCAACAGAAATCATGGCAGTCAAAAAGGCAAATGGGGAGACATATATAAAACCCTGAAAGAAAAGAAAAAAACCCCACTGCCAACCAAGAATCCTTTATCCAGCAAAGCTATAAATCAAATATAACAGTGTAATCAAAAACAATCCAAGATAAATAGAAGCTAAGGGATTTTGCCAAAGCCAAGCCTGCACTACAAAACATCCTAATGGGAATTCTGAGGACTGAGAACCAACAAGAACAGACAACAACCAGAGACAGACATACATGGCACCACCTCCCAGAACTAAATTGACAGATTGAAGAGTCGAGAACAAAACAAAACTATAAGAACAAACTCAGAATCTGGAAGGTCAGTCCATGATCAAAACAATTACAAAGTGAAAGAAGTAAACATGTAGGAACAGAGATCGAGATGATGAGATGGTCAAGTAGTTTACAGATAAAATAGACTGCACTAAATGGAGGGAAAAGTTAATGGAATATAAAGTAACCTCAAAGAAAATTAACACTTCATAACATAACAAGAAAATCCAAGAACGTGGAAACATAAAAACTATGAGGAAACACACAAGAAACAACACAAAAACCATGAACTCAGCACAGGAAAATACGCAGAACAAAGAAAGCAGCAACACCACAAAAAAAGCAAACATAATGGCAGCAATTAATCCATACCGATCAATAATTACACTGAATGTAAACAGATTAAATGCACCAGATAAGAGATGGAGGGTGGCAGAATGGGCAAGAAAGCAAGATTCTTTAACATGCTGTCTGCAAGAGACACAT